CCATGATGGCGCTCAGAGGAAACACGCACCTTCGCGTGCCAAGAGCAGCGACCGACTGACTCCCACCAGGACCTCCCTCGCATAGGGACCTCCCCCTCGTCGGGTCGCCACTTCACGCCACCTGCCTCCACTCCACTCCTCTCCACCTGACTCTATCAGATTAGGATCCAGTCCCCCTCTTTCCTCCTACATAGCTCCACATTCCTTCTCCTCCATTCAACACTCAGAAATGGATTCCGATCCATCGGCTGGACGCAACTTGGGCCCCGCATCGAAGGAAGCTTGAAACCTCCTTCAAATCAATAGTAATCTGAATTAAACATGTTTTTTAAATACAAGTACTTACTTCCCTGCATAGACCTCTCACCGTGTAAGCATTATCAGGTAGACGTCCAAGGCCATTTATTACGGCTCATCGAGACAGATAATCCCGGGAAACGTGGAACTGCGCATTGAGGAGTCTCAGCGTTCAAATAATCGAAGTAATCGCTTCGACCGATCGAAACCATGAAATTGCCCCTGCTAGCGCATTCTGTTATGCTGAGTGAAAGCAAACCCCATCAGAATCTCCATCTTTGTGAAGTCGACCAGGACCTCATTGGCAATATGGACGTGACCGAAAAATCCAATCCATTTCGTGCGATTCCATCGAAACCGCTGCGAAAAAGCGGAAATTAATTTTAACATTAAATCATATGAAGCCGAACTCAATAAAAGCATTTGGAAAAGGGCCGAAGAGCATTTTACATCGCGCGAATTAACCCGGAAGAATATATACCGTTTCGAGCGGGACTCGAACGGAAACGAACAGGTATTACATCTGATAGAAATGGATGGATAGATGAGAGAGGTTTATGTGGAAATGCTGGTCGAAGCCTCCTGGAAGTAGATGCCATGGGCAGTTTTCTTGATGCTTCAGGCGGTAAATGCCCTGGAAATGTGATTCCAAGCCTCATACATGTTGATGCCCTGGAATGGGATTTCAAGCCTCATACATGTTGATGCCCTGGTATGTGATTTCAAGCCTCATGCAAGTAGATGCCCTGGAAATGTTATTCCAAGCCTCATACATGTTGATGCCCTGGAATGGGATTCCAAGCCTCATGCATGTTGATGCCCTGGAAATTTAGTTAGTTGCTTTTACAAGCAGATGCCCCGGGAAATGTGACTTGAAGGATCATCTCGATAATTGAAACTGGGAAAATGTTTCATTTAGTTTGATCGGAAAACACTTGACGCTTAAATTGGGCATCGACCACGCCATGTCACGGATGATTCGTGAGAAATGCTTGGATGGTGAGTAATGCTGGATCGTGATATTTCATGAGTGGAGAGAAACGAGTTCACTTCTTCTGCCGGAACGGGCTCACGCTAACAGCGATGCGTTCAGGAAACTCAATTCCGCATGGGATTTCCGTCGCAAATTCAGCGCTGAAACCGAATTTTCTAAGGAATTCGCAGGCTGAGTTGGCGACATCGAGATGGGCTCACGTAGACAGGGAAAGCTTGTAATGGACGGAGAATTTCTGCAGATTACTCGATTAATAATAAAAGCGATTCGAGCAACATTAAAAATGTTTAAGGACGACGTCCAATCGAACTGTCAAAGTTGATTTAGTACAAGACGTAACAGTGTTATCTCTTATTTAGAGTGGTACTGATGGGGCTTCTCAGGACAATGACACGGCAAGGGTCGCCGGGCTCCAGCAGTACCAATTTTTTTTTTCCCCAATAACTCAATTCCAATTCACACGAACCCAATCGAGCCCATACATTTCGACAAGCGCCGCTAATTCCGATGAAGGATCGGTCCTCGCAAGCGACGAAACGTCCCGATCGTGATCTCGTGATTCCACGTTAAACGCATGCGTTTCATCAAATAAGTCTTCTAATTGAAAAGAAACCCATTCTACATAATAATTATGCAATGATATTCACATTAACGCATTTGTCCATTTTGCTTCCATTTTGCCCTGCTGAATACACGTTCTCAATAATATATCACCATAAGCAAAATAAGTAGTCATCAAGCCGCTTAAAGAATCAAGGGAGACAGAACTCTGAAAAGAAGCGGAATCTCCTAAATGAAGACGTCGAAACAAGTACGGAGAACAGTACTTCGGTGCTGATTCGATTCCAAGTGCATATCACTTTAAAATAAATAAATTCACGCCAACTTCCATTTCAAACGATATAAAATGATCTCATCAGCAACTTTACATCAGCGAATATAATCAGATCATCAGCGAATTAAATACTCATCAGCGAATTAAATAATCATCAGCGAATTAAAATTTTGAACAAAAAAAAATTTCGAACGACACCGACAGATCCCCCTCGACCAATTTGCCAATTGACCAAGCTTGCCAAGCGCCATCTGAAAGAAAGCACTGGGCGAACGGAATGCGGAGGTTATATAAACCTCTTGCGCAAGGAACGAGAGAGGGAGCGTCCCGTGGAGAGATAAGCGGGAGGTGATAAGGTGGATTCAGAGTCTCGACGCTGGATGTGAAATGTCTGAACATTTAGATGAATTATTCATTTAAAGTCGCGGTAGGTGCAGATTTACTTTGGTGTTATCTATATGGTAAATATTTGAGTGAAAACGCGTAGAAAATTATGGATTTCTGAATCGCTTTCCAGATTTTTCCTCTCCGCTTTCTACCGAGCGGTAATAATTTAAGAACTGTTATGATCATTTTAATGATTAT